AACGGCTATAAAATATTAACAAATTATGTTAAAAGAATTAATATTAAACAATGTAGAGCAGAGTTGCCAACATCAATCAATAAACAAGATTTTCTGTTGCATCTGGTCTATTACATAAATAACTCCTACTAATTTTATCTAAATAAAAAAATTTGTTGCTAACAGATTCTGATACCTGAGCTATAAAAGTCTGCAGCTCCTCCAAGGTTACATTAGGACTCTTTGGTCTCTGATAAACCTCTGGATCCTTTCATATGTTTGTGCTCTAATTATTTGACTTGTGAATGCAGCTGGTTTGCACCAGATTTTATTGAACAAGTAGCAGAGTAATTAGTGCTGAACTTAATTTTTATTGAAAAAAATCCCACATAATTTGCTTCCTTTTTCATTATTCTGCTCTACTTTGTTCACCTAAAACCCTCCACAAGTTTGTGGTATGAAATTCTTTCATAAAGCACTCTTTCGATTCTTTCCTCAGCCTTAACTTTGATTATAAAGCTAATCATCAGTGTCTTTACCTGCAAACGCTGCCATGTTCATGACCTGACTGAAGATGCAGCTGGCGGGTGGAAAATTGCCTGCTAGGCTGAAAAAAGCAAAGCCGATGAATAACAGCTCTGGTTTTATAAATGAGAGGATGAGGACAATGTTTACCTTATGAAAGGAGGATATTCAGATGTATTTCCATATCTAGAATAGATGAAAACAAGATGTTATTTACTCCTGGTGGGTACATATTTGTTGTACATGTTGGAGTATAACACATACCTGTACGCTGAGCTCAGAGGTAACACTTTCTCATAGTGGAGAGCTACAAAATACCTGCAGAAGCAAACAGATGGGTGCAATAAGAGAGCTTAGCTCTGTCTATCTATGTTTTATCCCAAATGTATATGTGTAGTGTAAGTGCATGTGCCACTTGTTCTTTGAATGATTTATCAGTGATGAGCTCCATGTGTTTGAGGCTGAACGGCCTCCATGCCATTACCCTCATCTTTAGCGACGGCCTACAGGATTCTCTATCAGAATAAAGTCTCTGACTGGGGCTCAATCCAAATACTTCAAATTATAGCTTATGCCTCCTGCTCCTAGTGCCTTTTCCTTCACCTTCAGTGGGGTCAACAAAAGAACTCGATCCAGGGTAGGGAAGGAGCTCAGCTCCGTACTGCTGTGCTAATCCAGACAGCCTTGAGCCTTAAGGGTGTCATTAAGAGGAAGTTACACATGCATTACCTGGTCCTATTTCTTATTAAGACTTAAATAAGTGGAGGAAATGACCACCCCCTTATTTTCATGGTTGTTAACTTTTTATTGATAGAGACTGGTTCTCATATCCTTTCTATCTGTTATTTTCTGTGTCATTTACAGTATTATGATGCACATTCTATTAATTAAAAAAAAAACTTACACAATCCAAAGCCCAGCAGCAGTAAACACTGAGAAGATAAGAGGCAGGAGGACCACCGGTCTGCAGCTCCACATTTTGGTGCTTATGACGTCAGAAAAACCTGTATTACAAAACATAACAGCAATGAGCTTTTTGTTACTTTTAAAGCATAAACAGTTGGATCTGTTAGGAAGGCCTTCAGCAGCTGGACGACACCGTCAGGAAAAGGTGTGGATTAACCAGCTGTTTAAACAGATACAAAAACAGGTAAACAAAAACCCTGTTAGGAAAGTTAAATGGGCTCTCAGCAGCAGCTGGTCATAACAGGCAGCCTACCAAAAACTACACTTTGAAACATGAAGAGGTTGCTAAAGCAAAACCACAAGCAGCAGCAATAAAATGCTACAGTTTCTCATTGATTGATTTTTTTTTCTTACCTCCCTGCTATGTGTTACTGTTTTCATAAAACAGAGGCTTAATTAGGCTAAGAAATGAGGATTATCCAGACTTTATCCTTTATCTTGTTTTGTGAAATAGGCCTCCATTGTTCTGTTTACTAATAAACATAAATTAGATGGGGAAAAATAGAAGCTTGTCTTAAAAGCAGTTTAATGGATGTTTAGGATCATTTGCTGTTGAAACACTCAATAGTTTTTAACAGTTAAACCCAAACTCTGATGAAGGGAAAATGTTTTCCAAGGTTTAGGAATCAACAATACCTTTGGCCAGTCATGAAAAGAAGATTCCAGAACTTCAGAGTTCATATATGAAGTGAATTTTGTTCCATCATTGCTGAAAGTGAAGAACAATGTTATTAAATGGTTACTTTAAAAAATTAAAACATTTGGAAAAACTAAATTCATAAATTAAACTTTTAAAAAGTTGAATAACAAGAAAAATGTCTTTATCCACTTTTCTGTTTTCTCAGCATATATGTTTTAACCTTATTAAATGTATTTAATTACTTATTTTTCCAAACTGTATTTTTTTTTTATTGTTTTTTTTTTTAACAGATTTTTTTTAAAATATTCGTTTCAATGTAGTGTTTCTGGGGGCAGGCTTTCCTGTGGAGTGAGAAGCAAAGACCTATTTCTATTGGTCTGCATGGATGTTGGTAACAATTTATTTTTATTGGTTAGGAAAGTTTGTATTGAGCTCCAAGGAAAGAATAAATAAATGTGATCTGTGAAAGACAATGTGAAAAGAATGCAACTGTTAGAATTCAATCTAAATAAAAATAAAATTAAATAAATAACAATTTAAAACAATTATATCAGTACCAAAAATTCACAAAATAGAAAATATATATTTGAAATTCCGGATTGCTATTTTTTTTGTTTTCAGATTTCATATACAATTTTTTTTTTCATCTATAAAACGTTCTCTTTGCTTGCAAAATAATGTAACAAACTTAACTCCATACCATACCAGTAATTTTTCAATAGGAATCCAGTTTTCTAGGATTTCCCATATTTCTGGCAGACCAATCAGATTCAACTTCCGCCTTCGCGAAGCTTGTTTACTTTTTTTTTTTTTTTTTTTAGATCTTCCAAATAAACCTTTAAATTGAAAATGTTACTTTGGGTTTCTTCTCCTGTCACACCATTTCCTTCTTTATGGAAGATTTTTAACACCTGTATCTTCTCATGTATTTGGATGAGCTCTTTCTATCGGGATTACTGCCTTCTTTGCCGTTTAGTTTTTTTTTTGTTTTTGTTTTTTGCTCTGACTGAGCCTGCATTTAAAGTCATATTTGGTTTTACCAGTGTCAAAAAAGGATTTAAAAAAATGAAATTGACCAACTATTCGTTACATTGAAACTATACCTACTTATTAAGACTTAAAACTAATTTATGTCCCATTACCGCGGGTGTTTACGGTACATAACGGCTGCGTCTGCCCTAATAAGTATATATACGGTAATATATATATTCCCTGATCTCTATGGTGATTGAGAGATTTAGCGAACGATCGGACAAATCCAAAGAAACGGCGATATTTGCCTTAGAGCGAGAATTAAATAGATATGTCACAGCGATGTTGCGACATTACAGCGCCCCTGTATCCACCTGCTTTACGGCAAGAGGAATAAAACCCTTTTTACTAGCTCTAAATACATAGAAATAATGTTAAAAGTGAGTGAATCTGTCAGTTCTTACCTGCTCAGGTAACCAGCTCTGCTCGATCTAAAGAAGGGTGACTATCCCTAATGCCAAACATGAACTCCTCCTGCTGAAAAACGAAAGCTAACAAGTTTTACCTGCTCCCGCCACTGATCTGCTTGTATTCACTGGGTTGCTGATAGAAACAAATGAAGTCATCAGCCGCCATATTGGTACTCCCCACCTTTACGGATTCGTGCCATAAAATGCCTGTAATGTAACTGAATTTCCACGACAAAGTTATCAATACATTTATGTTACATGAACATCAATTAAGCACTTTTAGCACATCACCAGATAGTGTGTGTGTGAGTAATACAGGCACCAGA